ATATATATATATATATATATATATATATATATATATATATATATATATATATATATATATATATAATATATATATATATATATATATATATATATATATATATATATATACAGGGCTCGAATTAACGCAAAAAAATCTAATCGCGAAAAAAAAAAATTCACCCCCCCCCCCTTAAACCTTGCGCTTCTTTGCGGTAATGGGGAGGGGGGAGGGAGGGAGTTGCGTTAGTATATAATTGTAACTTTAGTACGTAATTGTTCTACTTTTAATATATTATCTCTCATATTTAAATATAGTCTTACAATTTTCTTGTTTGGCAGAGTTAAAAATAGCGTAAGTTACTGTTATTATTTACAACTTCCCAGCCGGCACATCTAGTTTTAATCTCGGAATTAAAACCCGTATAAACACGTAATTGTTACGATCCAGGCGTAAACCAAAAACACGTGGATTTCACGGGAAGTTGAACTGGAGTTATACACGTGTTTTCTGAGGTTTCAAACACGAGTTTATTTTATTTTTTAAACACGGGTTTTATGAGGTCTTATAAATACGAGTCTTATGAGGTTTCAATACGGAAATTAAATCTAAAACATACACGTGTATAACGCGATCAAATTGTAAACCAAAAATACGAGTCTTATGAGGTTTCAATACGGAAATTAAATCTAAAACATACACGTGTATAACGCGATCAAATTGTAAACCAAAAATACGTAGACTTCACGAAAGATTTATTAAAGCCTGCTACGGAATTTATACTAAGATTTCAATCATGCAAACTACTTTTTTTTTAATTTTTGATCAATGATTGGTGACTTTTTACCAATCAACATATATAAATTCTCTAAACTTCGATTGACTTCAACTAAAATATGATCGTTTTTATTATATTTTACTTGCATTTTTTTAAGAAAATCCTAAATTATATTTCAATTTCTTCCAAGCTTTTTTACCATTAACAATATAAATATACCAACTAAAAAACTAAATATAAAAGATAAAGAATATACAGTTTAATCTCTTTTGGCAGAATGAGCTCTTCTCATACCTTGCTTTAACCTTTCACTCAAAAAGGATTTCAAAAGTTTTTCTGGTACCTTCCATGAAACTAACGATGCTAGAATGGAAGAAAAAATCAAAGGCAAATCGTGTGTTAATGACAAATGGTCAGTATAATTTTTGTTTGGCACGTGATTACCATACTTAACATTAACTTTAGATTGCACTTCCTCGGTCATAAGTGAATCTAAAATTGCATAGCAATGCGCTTTTGAATCTTTGCAGACAGGTCCCATTGCTTCAAATTTCCGCGTTAACTTTTCTTTAATTAAATTGTTTTTAAGACGGATCTCGAATTTTATCAGGTTGTCCATTGAGGTAACCTGATCAAACGTAACTACATTTGAACCTTTATCTAAAAGCTGTTGTAAAAGACCAACAGCCATATCGACAGTTTTTTGAATCTTGGTTATTTTTATTTTCAAGTGATGTTGTGACATTATTATTTTACGCTGAAAAAAATACTAACTTTTACCTGAAAAGGCTACTAGAGCCTCAATACAATTATTTTCATCAGTAGCAATTAAATTTTCGCTCATTGGCTTTTTTAAAATTGTAGAACAATTTACAAGTTGTCTAGAATTCGTTCCAGTATATGTTTGATTATTAAAATCCGCATACCCTGTTGTAAAACATACCAAATATGAATAGGCATATATATATATATATATATATATATATATATATATATATATATATATATATATATATATATATATATATATATATATATTTAAACAATTTTAAAAATGTATTCTACAAAATAGAGTGCTCAATGTTCTTAAAAGAACAGAGCAATTATAAATTTTATATATATATATTTATATATATATTTTTATTTTATTTTCAACCATTACTATCACTTGAACAGAGTAAAATCACAAGTGTCAAAATTCTCAATTATTAGCCAAGGCCCGTCATTATGGAACAAATTGAAAAAAACAGTATAAAAAATTTGAAAAACACTTTCTCTTTTAAACGACAAATGAAATTGCATCTTCTTAATTTCTGACATATATGTAAGTATGTTTGTATATATGTGTGTGTGTGTTATATATATATACATATATATATATATATATATATATATATATATATATATATATATATATATATATATATATATATATATATATATATATATATATATATATATATATATATATATATATATATATATATATATATATATCCGTGTATATGAGTGTGTATGTGTATGTATAAATGTGTGTGTATATATATATTTATATGTTAGTATACTTCTTTAACTTATATATACATGATATTTTAGAGCATGATTATTTTAAATTTGTTGGAATAAAGATTTTAATATTTATATTGCACCAGAGTTTTTAACGTACATTCTTAACGTATTATTTTTCAGAAAAAATATTTTATGGTAAACTTGCTAAAGCCATGAGAGCTTTATATGTTATTGTTAAAAAGGGCTCTATGAAAAAGTTGTAGAAACACCAGTCATTCGTATCTTCTTTGAGCCCCTGTCTGTTTTATATATATTCTTCGTGTAACTTAAAGGTTTCATTGCAATTGTATTATTTATTTTTATATGAACAACAATATATATATATATATATATATATATATATATATATATATATATATATATATATATATATATATATATATATATATATATATATATATATATATATATATATATATATATATATATATATATATATATATATATATATATATATATATATATATAATAATAAAATAAAACTAATTCTTTCAAAGTAATTAACAAAAGTAATTTTGTTTTTAAAATTAACCTTGTTAATTACTTTGAAATTATTGACATTAATGGAAGTTGTTAAATCGATAACATTTTTTTTTCCGAAGAGCAAGAGTAATTTATAAGTGCGCAGTCGATCGTGCCAAAAAGATTTTTGTTTCGCAAAATTCGGTGTTTCCGTTTAAAGAATCCATCTTACAACGGAATCTTTATATTTTAACAGCGAAAGCAATAAACAAATTTTTTAAACTTTTGCAATGAGTTCTCGAGTTAATCCGTCCGGGGCTGACAAAAAGAAAGTTAATAAAAGCAAATAGGCAAAAATTGCAATGTAATCATTATCACTTCTCCTCATAGAAGCGATGATGATTATATTAGCAATGATGCAAAAGAAATGTTTGGCGTTAAACAGTTGATAACGGTAATGCCAAAGAATTGTGTGACGTTGACGTTGTTCAAGGTGAAGCAGAATACGGTTTTAATGTACAAGATGTAATTAACAATAATAATGATTCAGCCAACTGGTCTATCAGAATTGAAAATACCTTTTAAGTGGAGCGAGTATAGTTTGGACTCAACAAGGTAACTGAATTTGACTTTCCTCTGAACAATAAACGGCATCGCTTCACAGAAGATTATTACTCTCGTGTCCTCATAAATAAAAAAAAACCGAACTAAACTGGCTTGTTTATTCGAAGCAATGTAGTATTTTGTTATTGCTACAAGCTCTTTTGGGGTGTCAACTTCTCACCAGGCGAATACTGAGTTTTCTGCATGGCAGCATTTTTCAAGAAGTCTGAAAAAGCACAAAGAGATATAAAATCACTTTGATTGCATGTAAAAATAGAAGCTTTTGCGCGGCAGTTTGAATGAAAATGTGGAATTAAATGCTTTTAAACAAAAGATAAATAAGAAAAAATGAAGTCATGGTGGGTTATACACCCGATGCCTATCGTCGTTCGAATTTTTAATGCCATTTCTGGATAAATTAGTATCAAAGAATATTTTTTGAGTTTTTTGAATGTCAAGGATACGACAGACAAAGGCTTTTTCGGAAATGGTGTTGATGTTTCTAGAACAAAATGAGTTGGGTATTAAAGGATTTTATGTAGCTTCTATTATCAAGTTTATGATAATGGAAGCAACATGAATGACAAAAAGAGTGGTGTGCAAACAAGAACTTTAGAAGTTATTAAGCCGTGTGGCAATCACAATTTGAATTTAGTCATCTATGATGCAGCTGCTTTACTAACTTCAGTTGCATCATTTTTCCAATTGCCGCAAAGAGTTTATGTGTTTTGCTTATCGTCAACTCATGGGTGGGAAATTTTTAAACAGTATTGCCAGCTTACTGTAAAGTGATCGTCAGAAACGCGTTGATAAAGTTAAGTCGGTTGCACCAAGGTTTCGCTTTTCCAACTCAAAGAATTTCGCGACACTTTACACGGGATTTGTGAAAGCGCTAAAGATAGTGCAACAGTTTCTAAAGAACAGAGCTTAGCCGACAATATTTTTTCATTTCCATTTCTTGTCATTAGATCCTCATTGGTAGTAATTAACTATATTTATATATTCACTATAAATGGTAATCCCGTATTAACATTACAATTAATTAAATAATAATTCAATTATGCTTTCCTTATGCTCCTTGAAAAGAGTAACCAATGAAAGTTTATAATGAAATTTCAAAGTGTTATAATGAAAACATCAAATTTCTAATATAAAAAAATAACATTGTAATAAAGTAAATGTTTTGAAGTTAATTTGTTTGCAAACATTTTCTTGAATAGCTTGACTAATATGGTTATTGTATGATTTAAGAGTAATAAATCAAACTTGATTGATGAATAAATGAAGGTCGATGGAAACACAACTAAATTATATGCAGCTCTTGACTATTTTTTCATGAGCTATATCACCAAGGTAAATAACTAATTTCTATAAATGTATGAGTTAATGCATATAACTTGCATGGTAACTAACCACGATAGAAAAAAAATTCTTTAAAAATACTGTTTGATCATAAAATTATAATTCTATGGTAATACAACGATAACCGATAGTAACATAACCTACTGAATTTGGTTACTGCAGTAACATAACTTACTATAGTCATTTTATTGTTGAAATAAACAACTGCAAAATTTTGGATAACCTTAAAAATAAATATGAAAAAAAGTCATTTAACATTTAGCAAAAATTACATGTCTTTCTACAATACAACTTCATAGTTTTTTCTTCGCTTACACAATACCCCGCTTGTTCCCATTGACGACAATATCCAGCTTCTCTATCATTTATATCTTCACACGAATTTGAGTCTAAAAAAAATGATGCTTTACTGACAAATAGTGTCTACATAAAAATCAATACAACATATTAAAATAACGAAAGAACATTTATAATAGCATTAAAAAAAACCATTTGTTACCATTTGAGAAATTGTCAGAAATTTCGATATTCGTTGGACAATTTCCTGCTGTTATACTTATATCGTCAATAGCAATATCACCTTGCCATCCATTACCAATAATACCTTCAAATATAACCTGAAAAAAAAATTAAATCCAAATAATTAATCAGTTTATATTTTTTATATTTGGCACACATTTATACTTTGGAGGAAAAATTAGTATTACCTGATAAGGACCTTCGGGTTTAATATTAATTAATAAGTTTTTCCAATCATTATTTGGCTCACTCTTTGATTGAGAAAAGATATTTTTTATTGTTACTGTGTCATCAATATAAATATTAAATTCACCAACCATTGAAGCATTTCGAGAAAACATGTTGTAAAAAACAGAGAAACATTGTGCAGATAATGGTTTTTCAAACCATTTTGTTTTAAGACGAGCTTTATCATTTTTCTTTTGTGGATAGGATGCTTCAATATATACATAGGTTCCTAAACAAATAGAAAACAAACATGCTTGAAAAAACATACACAGGTGTGTGTAAAATATAGACATTTCTCTGAAATAATACATTTATGTGATACATGAAATGAATTCATATTTACACTGGTTTCTAAGATAAAATTTTCTGTTTAAATAATTGCATGATATAAAATATTAAATGAATGTGATTTATAAAAAAGAGTTGCATACATAGAAAAGCTAGAAAAAAACATATACATGCATATATATATATATATATATATATATATATACATATATATATATATATATATATATATATATATATATATATATATATATATATATATATATATATATATATATTAAGTAAATAGTAACAATATAGTAATGCAATTTTCATATCAAAAAAAAAAGTTTGGAAACAAATATTCCAGAGACACAAATGGTGTTCTATTAGTTATTAGAAGAAGTTGAAATTTTTTTTGGATTTAAATGAGTTCTTGAGGTTCCTCTAGGACCCAACAATTTTGACAGGTCCTGTATACAACATTTTTGTATACAACAATTTTGACAGGTCAGTAAAACTTTTTTTTTCCAGAACTATATCAACCTTAAACTCAAAGGAAGCAAAGATGATTTTGAAAACAATTTTAATTTTCTTTCAAAATTAAAGTTATAAAAAATTAACAGTTTTATGTGCAAAAAACCCAAACTCTAAAATTTATAGGTAGATTTTTGTTATTTTTTTAACAAAAAGGTTTAATTTGATGAAATTGATATTTTAAAAACTAGCTTTTTACATCACTTCATTTGATTTCTAGATTACATAAGTAAGGTTATTTAAAATTCAATACTTATGCACTGTGCTAAAGCAACTTAGCTGTCCCAGTTTGATATAAAATTTCAAAAAATATAGCATACCAAATATATAGGTGAAGAAACTCAAAAATGTTTAAATATTATCTACCTAGTCTTCCAGTAGTATGGTCAGAATCGGGTCCAGTTCCTCTAGAAGGTGTTTCACCATAAATTTGAGCCCATTCAAAAGTTGCAGTTTTATCATGAGTAAACCCACACAAATCAGTTTCAAAATCACAAGTATAATCACCTGAAATTTTGTGTAAACAAGTTTCGATTTATTTTAAGTTCAATAAACAAATGTAGAGAATTACATAAAAGAATAAATAGCCACATAGCATATAATATAAAATTAAAAGTATATAATTAGAGTATAAAAAATGGCTATATAATTTCAGAAAAATAAAAACTTAATTACTATTATCTTTACTATTCAAAAATATAATAAACATAGTAATACAGTTACTATATTAATAATATACTCCAAAATTTATAAACATTTTTTGTTAAATATGTTTTTTTCTTACCTTTCAGATCGTATCTTGGAAAAAAAGTTGTTGGGCGAGTTGTTTTACCTATTAAATTAATCAAAGTTCTATGAAGCAGCAAGACATATAAACTATTATAAAAACGCAAAGGTTGTTACTATGAGTGTTACAACCATTTAATCTTTTATGAAATGTACCTTGACATCGATAAAGCTGCATGGCTTGATACTGATCATGCTCTGTAAATCCAACTCTTTGACCAAGCTGGAAAATACCAGGAAGTTTAGGATCTAATGTTACTGAGTCATTAATTCCAAATGCAGTTTTAGAATATTGCATATAACTT